GCATATTCTTCTTAATTATTTTAAGACCTCGAGTGTTGGTCCGGCCGGGGCTCGAACCCTCGACCTCCCGCACAACAGTCCCATGAACAAAGCAAAATGTCTTCAGTTTTCGCACCATCTCAAACAACAGGTAATAAGTCGTGAACTGGAACTGTATTAAAAGTTATTTCAAAAGAAGAAACAATTTGTCTGAAAAGATTCAGGCTTTGACATTTCCAGCTAACATTATGTTCACAGGTAAATGATAATGTCCTCCCCCAAAGAAATAACTTTACAAATTGACATTGAGCAGTCGGGAAAACAAATTTAGGAAAAACGGGGGGGGGGGAGTAAGAGGAAACAGGGAGGGTGGAGAGATAAAAGATTGGGAGAAAACTGAGAAGGGAGGGGAAGGTATCCCACTGACCCCCTGCCCTTGGCAATGCGTTACGTTTGCAGTCAAATAATTGAAATAAACAGGCTGTAATTCAATTAGTTGCGTCAAAACAAGTTTAATTCAAAACCATGATTTTTTTTTACAAGAAATTGAACATTTACAGTAAATGCCTTCACTATTCCAGACCCTTGGCTCTACCTTGACAGAAAACTAAAGAGCGGGTACCTTTTGTGATGAACACTAAAGAAAATTACTCAATCTAACACTACAGTTCTCTAATTATATAAACCCCATGTGAGAGAAAGTTTATCTTAGGGATATTAAGGCAATCCCATTAGCAAGAAACATGATGTTGCCAAATACACACAGTTTTGCATGATAAGACAATTTATCGTACATTCTGTACACAAACAAGAAAAAATAATAACAGATTGGTTTATTTTGACCAGTTGATCCATTGGTAGTTATCTGGTAGACTTGGATCATCTTCCTGCAAAACAGATCAATTAAGGACTTAAAAGACGTGTGAAAGGATAACAGTTAACGAGGCATTTTTCCGCTTAATTTGGAAAACAGAAGAAAACTGCAGTAGTCGGTTGCTCAGTCTCGTAAAAAAGTTAACGTTAACGTTAACGTTCTCAGCACCTACCTTCGCATATCTTGCAAAACGTTGTGATGGGATGTGTCTGTAAGGTGGCACATAGCGTCTCTAATAAAAAGAAAAAAAAAAAAACACCATACAAAAAATATATGTGTGTATTAAAGAGGGTGAGAGGCTAAACATACAGCCAATCCCATGCATGAACGATATCTTAACAGCAACATTATGATAACAAATTAATCAATTTTTTCAAGTTAGCCATATATTTTCATTGGCATTGTGGTTGTAACCTACTTTTTAATATCACAAGGTTGGTTAGTTGATATAATTTTACCTCTCTAGACCAACTTAGCAATGCAACTGGTATCTGCAATCCAAGAACAACAGCAAAACAGATAGCTGTATTTCTTTTCCAGTTCCTCGGATTGCACCACCATCCACCGGTCGGAGACCACACATACTTTGGATAATCAAACTTTTTTACCCCTCCCTGGGTACAGAAGCAATAAAAAATCATTAGGCTACATCCATACAACATCAGGGACAAGAAAACCCACGAAAATGCGCAAAATTGTGTAAAAACAAACCATTTTCTTGGCAATATAATCTTAACCCCCGTGGACAACGTAGCCAGGCCTTGCATCTTTCCTCGCAGGGAGCTGTGGGATATTTCCAACAGTTCTTTTCGGTCGCATGACGCATGCTTGGACGCTTTGCCGCTTCAACAAATTTTCAAAGATGGCCGAGTCGACGGAACTGGTAAGCTCGCGTGAAAAAAAATTAATTTAATCAGACATTTAATCCTCGCATTTGACAAGCCAAAATTTTCCAAAGACTTTTCAAAATGTTCACTTTATCCATCTGTATAGGCCTTTGAGGGTTTCTCTTCCCTTGAGATTTGTTATGAACAATGTTTACGTTGCCAAATAGACTTATCAACCATGAAGCGGTCTTTCGTGTTTGCGAATCGGAAGTCGCTAAGATTTTCGTGATATTTGTGTAGCGTGATTCTAATTTTCTTTTTCGAATTCATACAGTCCCCTAAAGCTCCAACGGATGATGCAGGTATTTTTTTTTTAATCTTAAACGAGTTTATTAAAATGTAGATTAATGAACTTTTGGCAATTAACAAGTTTTTACGAACAAAATGGAATTAAACTGTTATCTTCTCTTTGGATATTTTTGCATTGGTACTAGGTGATTCAACAGACCAAGAATATGAAATCACAGCTGATATGATGGTGCACGATATTGATGATGAAACTACTATGGACGAGGAAGAGTTCATGGCAGATAAAGATGAATTTAATGAAGACGAACTATCAGAACTTCAAAAGGTAAAGAAAGAGTTATTATTTTTATTTATCACCACATTTTTATGGATTAATTTGTGAGCTGTATTTTTAGTTTTAGAAAGAAAAAAGATGAAGAGAGACAATATTTTTTTGCACATTTTCACTTTCTATATTTTGACTAGAGACTGTTTCCTCATGCTTCTGGTGTAAAAATAGCAATTAGTGCAGCTTAAATAATTAGGTGTAAATTATTGTTCATAATACACTTACATTGTGTTGTGGGATTTAGATCTGTGTAAAAAGTCAGAAATCTATTTTGATTAATTTTCAGAGGTAACAGTAAAATTATTCTATCAGACGAAAGATTTTGTATTCTCTATTACAAATATCATTTGCACTTTTTATCAAATTTATCACCAATATAACTAGCAGCTAAAGAAAAAAAAATAAAGTGGTTTGGGTGTCACAGCCTGCTTCACTACTCTTAACTTTTGCTTTTAAAATATGGAATTGGGTCTATTAAGTTACCGGGACTTTGGAGAAAGGGATCTTATGTCTCAAACTTGGACCTCACAACAGAAAGCAGGGTTCAACACTAACTTTTCAACTTACTAGCCAAGTGGCTAGTAACAACTTAGATGTTACAAAAATTTCAGTTTTTTACTACCCAAATTGGCAAATGGAAACTGAAAACCATCAGCCAAAACTGTACTTCCACCAGTTTGTGGCTAGATGGCAACTGTTAGTATCGAGCTTTGAGAAAATTCAGTTTGCAAACCACAAGACCACTGTGTTTCCCACCCTCTGTTATATAAGATGACATGATTTCATTCTTGCTTTTCAAAGTATTAAGTAGATGTTTGTATGTATAACTAGGAACAGGACATGCCACTGGAGGAATTACTGGCTCTATATGGATACTCAGACGAGGCTAACCCAGAGGCTGTTGTACCTTTAGATGAGATCAAGCCTGAACCTCTTCCACCTCTGATTGACGCCAGTGAAATTGATCCCTCTCCTCACCCAGTTAATCCACTGCTCGGAGAAAGTGCTCTGCCAGAAACTACAGAGTCTCTGGCGGTTCCTTCCCCAGACTCCCCCCTGTCAGTACCATCACCCAGGTCTCCACAGTCCCTTCCTTCACCAAGACCTACTCGCGATAACAATGTCTTTCCTGAAAACCAAAGGATAACCAGAGGATGTAAGTGTACATATATCTTATTAACCAAGCGCGAGGGCCGTACTGGGAGAATATCGGACCGAGGTCTTGACAGTATGGACCGAGCGCAGTACAGACTTGACAGTACGGACTTGACAGTACGGACTTGACAGTACGGACTTGACAGTACGGACTTGACAGTGCGAACCGAGCGCAGCTCGGTCCATACAAAAAAGACCGAGGGCCGATATTCTTCTAGTACGGTCCCGAGCAAGCTTGGTTGATAAGAGATTTATTATACGACTGAAGTTCTAAGGGACACAAGTGCGGTATCATTCGGGACCATTCGGGACAGTGCCCGGTCCAATACTGAGAGAATATTGACTGGCAATAGAACATTTTGATAGGTTGATTTTAGTTATTGGCTCTCTGACTACCCAAGTCATGTAATAAAGGATCTTTCTTAAGTGTTTTGAACACATTCACTTTGATAAGTGACCAAGAAGTACAGGGCCAATACATTTTAAAACAGACAGGTGAAGAGAATTAAGACAAATATCAACTGAGGGCAATTCTCAGAACTAAAAACATGAGAAATGTAGTGCAAACGGTTGGGAGACTTTCTTTTGAGATGTTAGGGGTAAAGTGGTTACCTCTCTCACATTCAGGGCTTGACACCAATGATAGCCAAGTAGCTACAGACTAGTAGAAATTCGGTTTTGGCTAGTGGTTAAATTCCATTTTCACCAGCCAGTTCGGCTAGTAAGCAATCTGAAATTGTTGTAATATCTAAGTTGTCACTAGCCCCTGGGCTAGTAGGTTGAAAAGTCAGTGTTGAGTCCTGCTCATGTTCATTGACAGCACTTGTATCTATTCTCCAGCTCTCGTAGATTTTCTGTAATAAAAAATGTTATTATCATATTTCTTGGTCTTCAGTGGCTGCTGCTTACAGTTATTTCAATCTGGGTGAAAGTTCGTCATCTTCTGATGATGAGGATTATTCACCGGAAGACTGGAAGAAGGTGAGAAAAATGCTTCTTTGATGTACTGTATGAAGTAGTATGCCTTTGTAATCATCCGGTGGTTAAGAGATTTCTGTTTGGCAAGTGACTTGCTTAACAATGTACAGTATAAGGTTATTTTAGTTCTGAACGGGACACTTTATTGACTGGTTCTGCAGTGTAGCCAGTAACTCTTATTACGAACTCTGTATTTATTTATCTATTTATTTAATTTTTTTTCAGGAGATCCAAATTGGACCTGATCATCAGGCAGAAGTCCCAGAAGTACTGGGTCCAAACTATCAAGATGGTGAGTTGACATTGATGCTGTTAGTTGGTATTCAAACTGGAGCAAACAACAAAAAAAAGTTTAATATAATTATGTGCCCTTGATTTTCTTTGATAACAGCTCCATATTCGAAAGATGACAAGTGTCTTTGGGATCCAAAGAAAGTCAGTGGAAAAGAGTGTAAGTCCATTTTGCATTAATTTCATTGCTACATCTCTATCCTGTTTGGTTTCACAATTTTCTTAGCAGAGGGAAGCATTGTGTACAGTTTCTATAGGTAACAGCATTCATGTATCGTCGGATATGACCTTCTGATCTTCCAGCTGTTATCCCATTTTTTTTTTATTTCCCCTGCAGTGCAGCGATATCTTAATGCAATCTGCCAAATACCAGGCTTAGAAGGAATGAGAAGAGATGTAATTAGAGACGATGAACAGGTAAAGGCTGATCTTCATCCACAAGATGGCCAGATCTAGAGTCAGTGCTGTAAATAGAAGCATAGAATGAGAAGCAATTAGTCGGAAATCAAACCAGTAAAATTATTACCCAAATGCCAATGGTGCTTGGATTGTGCATTCAACATTATCACTAGTAAGAACTAAACCCCCAATACACAAACATTCCCAATACTTATTTAAAAATTAACTGTGATTTGCTCTTACTCTGCAGGCCCTTTACCTGCTTTTACAATGCAACTACTTAGTGGAAGAAGCTATTGGCAAGCGAAAATCACAAACCAATCCACAAGCAGGTTTGTGATACTTAGAATAATTTTTCCAACCATCATTTAAAGAAGTAAAGATTAGTCTGAATACTACCAACTTGAAGATAATTTCTTGTATATCAACACTAACAGATTTGCGGGAGAATGATGTTGGATTAAATATGACTTAATTCATAAATCCTATTGGTTGTTTGGTGTGTATTATCGCTGAGTACTTTTATGAGTTGTGCTGTATTTTGATGAGCCCATAGGGTGAGTCAAAATACCAAGAAAATACTCAGTGATATTACACACCAAAATGTCTGTTAAGAGACTTATTATCCAACATGCCAAATTGTTATTTCAGTGAAGGCAAACTTTTCAGATATTTCTGGAGAACAAATATCGCATCACATCTGTACTCTTTTCATGCCTTATCTGTACTCTTTTCATGCATTATCTGTACTCTGGGGCAAATCCAGGGGTGGTTGAGGTGGTTCGGTCGAACCCCCTAAATTTTCCCTCAGAACACTGGAAATCATGTTCCCGAAGACCTAATTTTCAAAATCTTGGACCCCTCAGAAGGGGAACAATTCTCCAAACCCCCCTCCGAACCTCTCTTGACTAAATCGTGGATCTGCCCCAGGTACTCTATGAAGCATAGTTGGATAATAAAATGTATTATATGGAGTAGAAACTGTCATTTTTTCAAGTTAGAACTATACCTATCAGTTCTTTCTTGATATTACTGCAATTTAGGTATTTTATCTTTATAGAAATGGCCCTTTGGTCAGAAGATGAGTGCAGAGATTTTGAAAGTGGTGAGTTGTGAATTAATTATAAATTAACAGTTCAAATAATTTTATTTTTCAGTCATTATTTACTTCTAAAGGGAAATTTCTTTGTAATTGGAAGTTTTTTTAGAAAGACATGTTATACATTTAGTAATTGTACCTCTGTACAAGAGGGGCTGAATACAAATTTTCTTTTTCTTTCAGGTTTGAGAGTATATGGCAAGGACTTTAGACAGATACAAAAAAATAAGGTACAGGAGAGGAGCTGGCATACTTTATGTGTAGATTACAACAGGGGCTAGTAATTACCTCGATAAAAATGACAGAACAAAATTGTTTTGATATTATGGATAAGTCAGTTGTATTTGGCTCTTTTCTCCAATCTTGTTATGGTACAGATTTACCCCTTAGACCAGGTCTTTCACACTAAAATTTAACATTATTTTCATACTTCATCTAAATTTTTCTGTTTTTTTTTTCTTTTTATCAGTTTTATATTTTGTGTTTCTAATTAAGATAATGAATAGTCATTCTATAGAAGGTAATAATAATCAGAAACATTTGAAAATTTGGAACAATGAAAACTTTTAACTTGAACATATTGTTTACTGCAGGTTATATCACGCAGTGTGGGAGAAATTGTTCAGTTTTATTATTTGTGGAAGAAGACTGAACGCCATGATGCATTTGCTTGCCAAACAAGGTTAACTAAAAAGAAATATGCCTTTCACCCTGGCATCACGTAAGTGTTACTTAAGTTCGTAAGATAGGTAAGTGAATGGAGATGCCATTTATTTTGTCACAAACATGGGGCAAAACAAAAAAAAAATTCTGAGTTTTCTATGATGAGTTGAACCACACAACTTCACTGAGCCACAAAGAAGTGAAATAATGAGCTAGGCCATTACTAGCAAACTACAAACTGCTATGATCAGCAGTATCAAAACTGCTATAGAAAAAAGATTACAAAGTTTGAGCTTAATCTTTGAGTAAAGAAAGATATAGAACAAAGAATTAGTTGAGGTGCTGATAAGGAATAAAACCTGTTGCAAGTATTGTCACCAACAGGGTTAAGGACTCTTCTCATGTGGAAAATAATTAATAGACTCCATGATTGGCCATGATGTGAGTCATCAGTAAACTGAGGTTTTTTCTAACCATTTGCACTGCATTATGGCAGTAGGGTAGGACTAGAACGGAACATATGTGAACCATGCGAGTAGTCCACTCAATAAATCCCACCCAACCTACCCCAGGGGAGGACATCCATCACACAGTAATCTCATGCCTAGGAAATTAACGTCTCCTACCCCTAACCCTGTAGGAGATGGGACCTCCCTTTATTCGTCCCTATCCGAGAAGACTAGAATATCTAACCATTTCTTGATGTTATAGAAAGGTAGCATATTCTTCTCAATTATTTTAAGACCTTGAGTGTTGGTCCGGCCGGGGCTCGAACCATCGGCCTCCCACACAACAGTCCAGCATTCTATCCATTGAGCTAACCAGGAGGCGGTTTCCATTTTATACAGGGATTATATGGACAGATTCTTGGATGAGAATGAAAGTGCTGCATCAAGCCGTGCGTCCAGTCCCCACAACTTTACAATGTCAAGGGTACGACCAGGAAATGGCAATGCACCTACTACTGTACAAACTCCAAGTCAGCCAATAGCAATACAACCAGCGCATACTATTGGAGCCCCCACAGCAGCCCAGAGCACCATTGTCACCATCAATGGCACAAACTCAAATCCTTCATCTGTCTCGTTGCCAAGGAGAGAGAGAGAATCCCAGGAGAATCCTGCCAACAGACAGGTGCAGCAACAGCAGTCTTGTGTTCCAACATCCGTTATAGTTTCAGGGCCAGATTCTGGAGGGGAACCACCACTCAAAAAGTTAAAAATCCTCCCTGGTTCTCGACCGAAGCTTATCAACAGTATGCTGAGTAAACCACCTCCTTTAAAGCCCATAGTGTCAGTGGGATCTGGGGCATTCCATCCAAATAACATTGGGAGTGTACCATTGCCTCCGACAAGTGTTTCAAGTTTTAATACATCAAATTCTCATGAACCTTCTTACTTGCCTGTGCAAAACACACCAGATGTGACAGATTCTCTTCTCTTTACACACAACAAGTGACAATTGTTCAGCTTTTTAATGGTGTTACTCACAGGCTGGGGCAGATAAATACCTATCAGATGAGGGAACTCCACAAAGAAGCAGATGTTTTGCAATGCTGATGCCCTTCCTTTACTCTCAAGCTTAAGTACTAAATGTAACTCAAGGCTCTTATACTAATCAGACTGCTTTTACTCCCAAGATCTGATTGTCAATTCTCTCCCCAAGCTGCCACATATTTCCTTCGTAAATTAGTTACAAGAGTTTGGTGTTAGATCAAGATAAAGATTGTTACCTGATAAATTTGAGTATTCTCAATACCTGTTTGCTGGATAATGTGTGGATGTTATAGAGAGAAGTTACATGTTAATCACTTTTGGGAGCTAAAGGGTTAATTGTTAGTATCATAAAGTAGACATCTCTTCCTACAGCCATATTGGCAAAACACCGTCAAGTTGCAATGTTCAGAAACTTTAATGGTTCCTGGCACTGACGTAGACCTACTGTGTACAAAGTTGAATACTAGTAAGAATTAATGTACATTTTATTATCATAATACTGTGGCTTTACGAAATTATTTATTAAATCTGGCTATAAAAGAAACTTACATTACCACAAATATTAGTTCAGAAAGGGGAAGGTTTTAATTAGAAATTTTTTAGTCAGAGTTTTGTTCATTGAACGGCATTTTTGCTGTGGGAATCTTTGAATTTGTGCTCATTGTAATTATTGTATACTGTTCGAATGGTTTTCAACCTGCAAAATGTTTGTAGCTAACTCAGGGTTGTAGCTAGGAATTAGGCTGCTGGCTGTAATTTCATGTGACACAGTTCAAAGATGGAGTTTGATATTGGACAATTGTTTGTATGCAACCTTAGTAGTGCATGTTGTGCTTTACTATGTGATTGCAGGCCAGAAATCTAACTGGCAATTGCATATTCTCTTTCTGGCATAGTTTCGCTGGCGGCCAGCATTTAGCAACAGTCCTGATAACTGGCTTTTGATTTCCTCTCCTTGAATTTATTTATTTTCCCAATGGGGATTCAGGTTATTTTGTGTGTTCAATGCAAAGTTGTAGTCATATATTATTTCCTCCTCAGTAACCATAATTTTATGATGAATAACTCTTTCTTTTTTTCAAAACTGCTCTGGATGCTGTTTTTTTTTTTCCTTGTAGGGAGGAGTACTTGTGGATGTTAACTTTAAAAAAACTGCTTGTCAATTTGTTTCAATTGATTTTTTCTTCAGAAAAATGAGTGGGTATTTTTAATATTACTATGTTTTAAGGGTGCTATCTAAAATATGAGCTTGTGATAAGTCTTGAAAGAAAACCCACATGCTGGGCTTATCGTAGATTTTGTAGGTTGATGGAATTTTTTTGAGGGATTTAAGTCTTTCATTCCCAAGATCTCATCAGCAGTTCTCCTTACTTTATACTATGCAATTATCACGTGATGTTAGTTCAGAGAATTTGGTATCGGATCGATTATCCAAATTAATATTTTTCTTATTCTCATCACTTATCTGTTTTATATTGTCTTAATATTGTAAGGAGAAATTCTTTCTTGATCACTTACGGGAGTTAAAGGGACAGATGTGAAAATTTACTTTTTCCTCTTGCACATTTTTAAATTGAATAAGGAGTTACCGAATCATAAAGTTTGTTAAAATGCTGTAATCGTAATTGTTATGTTAGACTGAGGATACGAACTGTCCTATCCAATTATCTTTGTATCCAGTGTGTTGTGTAGTGTTTTAAAGGTTGGTTTTGCAATAACACTCTTTGAAATTTATAAATAAGATAGTTAATCCAATTTTTCCCTTGTGAAATCAAGAAATATTTTATCCAGGAAAGTTTATGAATTAAGTGGAACCATGACGAAGGGAAGGTGGTGGGACAAGGATGTACTGTTGCAAGAGGTGAGATGTAGAAAAAACAACACTTTTCTGGATGCATTGACATTGCTTGAATATCTTTTACAAGACTTACAGGTTTTATCTCAAAACTGTTAGAAACAGGTGTAAAACTCTGAGATAGAGATTTGATACATAATTTAGGCTGCTATCACGAGGGGGTCTTTGTATCTGTAGCAATTTTGTTTGGTGAATATCTAGGAGAGAATGAAGTTCCAATTGATGCTGTTGTTAGAGGTTGAGTTATCACATGCCCAGCTAAACAACAGCTGTGAACTGACTGTAGCTCCCTTTGAATCAGTAGTTACACTTCTTTTTCTGGAATTTATACGTGTAGAGTTGATTTTCAGACCCTTCTTCAAATCACAGTTCAGTCCATCACTTCTGAAAATTAATGCTGGGCTACTTAAATTATTAGTAGATACAATTCTACTTAGGTGGGGTAAACTTACAGCCTTTCAAATGCTAGACTTATTTTTTATACTTGTAAGCATCTTTTCCTGGCCGAAATAAAAGCTGACTTGAAAAGACCACTAGTTTGAAAAAGGGTTTGAAGATATATACATGGTACAGTAGAAAACCAGTCGGAAGAGTTTCTGTTCTATTATCACAAATTTCTTGTCAGTTTCTAAATAATCTTTTGAAAAGGGGCCTACTTCCTGATAGGCAATCAATAATGACGAAGGGATGCATTTTTCTTAATAAATTTAATTATTTGATAAGGTGCATATTAAATGAATGCATGGCTTTTTGTGCTATAAAATTGGCAAGTACAAAGGAGGCATTTGTAAATGCACAAACTAAATAAAGAAAACGTTCTTTCTTAGCATTAGCAACAGAAATTATTCACAGCTGACTGTTTCCATGCTAAAACTGACTATAACTTAAGAGTGTTAAAAGAGGAAAATTTGTATTTTGGCTAATTAACAACAGATAATACTGTTTATATAAATTTTACCATGGCACTCTGGCTCATAAAAAAATGTCAGCTAGAGGGGGTTAATTTTGGGTTTGCAAGCTGCTTCAGGTACTCTATTGAAATCATGCAATACTTATTTTGTATGCACACCTAACTACAGTGTACCTTAATTTGATTTGTGTTAAATAGGTTAAATTCATTTTGAAGGTAATTATTGAACAAAGGTTATGCCAGTGATCAGTGTATTTTTTTCAGTTGCTGTCATTAGTAACATTCATCATAAAATTGTAAAGTTGAACTGTAATTATAGTTTCTCATAAAAACAACTTTGGCAACATCCTAGTATCTACATCTATGTTCGGTCAGTAAATTTGTATAGCTATTAAATTTCAGAGTCTTTGATATTTGTTTCTTTGAAAGTTTAACCTTCCCTGTCTTATTAAAAAGGGAAGTCATTAAAAATTGAATAGCAGGAAACAAAAGTGAGTTGTTATTTTGGTTTTCTCAGTCATTAAAATTTGACATACAGTCACAAGTATACTGTGTGATACCTGCAGTTCTTTGGTTGGAAAAGCTTCAAAACAGAAACTGACAAACTGAACAATAACTCACCCAAATGAAAGCATTGAGTAAAAAAAGGCAAACTTGCCTTTCATAAACCCTTTACACTCTAACATAAGTATGGATGTTTTCCACACTGTTCTTTATACATTTCCTGCCACGCTGACAAGGAGAATTTGCATCAGGATCAAGAGCTGTTTTAGTTCGTGATATTTCCTCTATTCTTGTGACCTTGAGTCGGGGGTGATATTATATTGTATGGAGAAATGGATGTGAGTCACACTTAGAAGTTAACAAAAACAGTTAGCTTAATGGACAGAGTGCTGGACTGTTGTGCAGGAGGTCGAGGGTTCGAGCCCCGGCGCGACCAACACTCAGGGTCTTAAAATAATTGAGAAGAATATGCTCCCTTCTTATAACATCAAGAAATGGTTAAATATTCTAGTCTTCTCAGAAAGGAGCAAATAAATGGAGGTCCTGTCTCTTGCAGGGTTAGGGGCAGGAGACATTAATATCCCACGCACGAGATTACTGTGTGATGGATGTCCTCCCCCGGGTGGGATGGGTGGGTAACAGGACCCCCATTGATACCAGTGTTTACTACACTGAAGGGGCTATCCTGTATAAATATAGATGTCTAAATGTCTGGTCTGTGCCACAGGTAACCAAATGGTGAATTAGCAGGGGATTTCAAGGGAAGCTAGTCACTGGAAGCCTACCATTACCTGTGCCACCTCTTACCAACATCTGTTTAACACGTCAGCAAGCTCCAATGTTTGGGTTTTTACTTACAGCCCCTTTCCAGGTGTAGTTGCCAACAACACCATTAGCAGCCACTAAGATAACTCTTTAACTCCCATGAGTGAGCAAGATAGAATTTCTCCTTACAAAATGATTCTCAATACAATATCAAGCAGGAATGTGATGAGAATAAGAAAATTATCAATTAATGAATTATTACTTGATCCAATACTAAGTTCTCCTAATAAACTTAAAAAAAAAACTAATGACAGTAAGGAAAGTTACTAATGAGGTCCTGGGAGTGAGAGCAGGGGGCCCAGACTCGTCGCTTGTCTGGGTGCCCCGTGGTGAGAGGGTGAAAAAGTTATTAAACTCCTGAGCCAGCCCTTTTGAGAACAGCCCTTTTGAGAACAGCCCTTTCATACTGCTACGATCAGAGCAATGTTCAAAGCATCTTGCAAAGAAACTTCTATGGGTGTTAAGAGTCTGTTGTGTTGTGTTGCCTATGGGTTAACACTTTCTTTTCTTGTCCACACCAATCCTTGAGAAGGAGATTGAGATTTCTTGAATGCTTAGAAAGTTAGGCATCAATCTAATGGCAATACACAATACTGTCTTCGCACTTGTGATGTTAGAGGGCATTGCTGAAAACAGATGTCAGCATTTCAAAACATGCTGTCAGTGGTAGATCTCGTTGGTCACCTCACTCCATTGCATCCACCATCTTAACTGCGACATGATAACCAGCGACAAGAACAAAGATCCACGCTAGCATCACAAGGCTGGCCACAAACTGAGAAACAAAATGTTTTGTTTTACAATAAAAGTCTGGCTCGTACAAGTATCGAAACTTTTCCATCCTTACTAGCGATTAATTGCATCTGATTCAACCAGGTCTGACTTCAAGCTAGTTTGGTTTTTTTTTTCGAGGATTTTTCGTAAAATTCAGCTTACCATTGTCGGTAGTAGTTCCTTCAGTCGATAACCCATAGCTTAATGTATTCCGATGTGCACAATGATGTCTGAAACAGTGCGATTATTGCAAATCACCTTTCATTTCACTTTGAAGAACTAGCCTTTTATTTTGAAAATATGGAAGCGGTTTTCCTTTTTGATCATGCTCATTGCTAAAACCTCAGACACCCTATCTCCAGTCTTTTCCAGCCAAAAAGCCTAGCAACGTTTACAACATATGAAGTCTTTGATAGCTTCTCGCAGGATGCGATAAATAGTAACACAACCTGACCTTCAACTTTTCCATATATACCGTTAAAGAAGAATCCAGGTGTTATCTGACTATAATCATTTGTACTGTAACCATGAATCGGGGCGAAGTGAGGAAGAAAGCTTCTATGTAAGTCATAACAGATAAGAGTTTTACAGCAATTCTTCTTGATATTTTCATAAAAATAGAAGATACAGCTGAGCTATTTCTAAACTTAGGAAACCTGGTGTTGGAGCTGCGTCCATCAACATGAATGCCAGCCGTAAAAGCAGTCACAGCTTTGGTAGCAGAAGTATTAGAACGATCGGCGGAGGTTCAAGGAATAATCTGTTTAATTCGTCAAGTCGTAAGAGCGTAGCAATTGATTCAAGCAGAGGTGATAAGCCTCAATCGAAACCTCCAGTGCAGGTAGGTGTCAATATTTGTACCGAAAATGAACTGTACCCTTACACACACCTGTACGTATAGATCAGTATCAAATGTATCCAAAAGAGACTTGAGTGTGTTCGTATAAAACCATAGATTAATTTATTGACAAATTGCGACAGCTATATAATTATGTAGCGTTGAAGGACTTTTCTGTTTAGATTTGAGGTGTCCCTAAATGCTGTAACTGTTGACCTCTGCACAAACCTAAAGTAAATAATTTCCTGATAGAAAAGAAGGTAAATTTCCGCACAGCATCCTACTTTGTTATGAATACAATTCTTGGATAAAAAAAAAAAAAAAAAAAAAAACAAGGGCAAAACAATAGATTGCCTCAGTGAGGGACTATGGCTTTGTTATAGAATCACATCATTGAATAAAATCTCGCTTTCGGATTGGTTAACGAAGTGAGGTATTGCGAGTTGAAAAGGAGACAAAGTAATATTGTTTTGCATCTATGTATACATAACAACTATAAGTAATGCAGTTATCTTTTTTTACTTATTTTTATTCAATTATGCAATTCAAGGAAAGTCCATGACTTGTCTTGTGAACTCTGCATGAAATTGCACTTGAAAACTGGTATTGCACTCATCACTTCCCAATTCATGCAATTTTGGTCTTTGCATGTAATTTAATGCAGAATTCCCTCATCAAGTAGTGAATTTTCCTACAGAATAGAATGGGGCCATGTGAAGTCTTACTGAAAACAAATATTCATCACAATCATGAATAACAGGCAGTGATCTTAGTTTAAATATAGAACCCTGTATTACTTTACATGTCAAGTTTCTGCTGCACCAGAATTAATGAACCTGAATAGAGTACTTTTTGGTAGTATCATTGCACTCATCTGATTCTCAGTTGATTGAAAATTCCTTGAAAATAATTCCTGCACTGAATTCTTTGAGGTCTCTGTAATGTTCCTGAAAAATCAGATTTGCCTAATGAAGGATTTTGGATAAGGATCATGTACAGATTGTAAATTGATTCTTAAGGACACAGTTCTAAGACTTAAACAAGGATCTAAGATCAATGCATCCATGTTCTGTATTATCGTCCAACTTCCCTAGGATTCTGTACAGTATTGTATGAGGGCATTATGAAATTGGCATGAACTGAATTTGATTCCCGATTGGTTGTTATTACTGTTGATTAAAATGGTTGTTGGTCAAAGGTGTTTGATGACCAGGGACAAGATGTCACTCCAAAAAGTCTACTTCAAGTTGATCCTACTATTAAGTGAGTTTTTAAGTTTGCTTACAATTTATTCAATGATAAGGTCTGATTATAACTATTAGGATAACTATTTTAATTAATAGTTATTGTACAGTTACTGTAACAACAGTTGTTATAGGTAATCGTATGGGGCTGAGTAAAATGTGTTTTCGGAAGTTGCTGAAATTTCCCGAGTCGCGCAGCGACGAGGGCAATTTCTGCAACTTCCGAAAACACAAGTGATATTAATCCTTAATTTTACGAGGAACCATGTGATTACTTGTTTATAATATAAGGAGCAAAATGTTTTCTTACTGATCTCGCGCAAAACGGGACGCCATTGTTACAAAACAAACAGAAATTTCTTTTACCTTGGCAGCCGTTGCTAAGCGATTTTCAGCCAATCATTTTCAAGTAATTTTGCCCGGGGCAATTGCAAAAATTAAAAAAAAAATGCCCTCTGTCTTGACCAATCACAATTCAGTAATTTTGCCCCTTATATGATAAGAATATTTAATTCCATGTTGTCATACATCTGTTCAGTAACAGACAAGGGTTTCATTAATGTTTTCAGCAGGAGGGCAACTGGTTTTCACAGGCAGACAAACCTTTTTGAATTGAACTTCTTCATAAGATAAACTTTCCTCCAGATTGTCAAACCAGGTGGGCAAAACCATCCTCACAACTGGTCAATTTACCCAGTGCCTGGCCCTTAATGAAACCCCAGCTCAGATGACATCAACATGTGATATAAGAACGAAAAAGTGGATATCAAAGCAATCTTTGCAGTAATGAGAATCATATGTGTGAACTGCAGGTTAAGATCTATTCTAGTACAGACCCATGGTAACATGGAATGTTAGTATTTGTTTTTGCAAAATGTTGTTCATGGTGACATCATCTATCTGTCTGTCCACTAATAGATCATAAGCAAGAACTAATCAAAACTAGTGTATAATTCCACAGCATATCATTATAAAATTCAAATATTTGATAATAGATAGATGTGTTACAACTGAGTCCTCATGCATGGGCACAATATAAGACAATCAGTTTGTTTGAAGGTATATTGATCCAGTTACGGGATTGTGAATTTTGTCATCTGAGAGTTAATGAATATTTTACAACATGGTCATTACTTGGGTACTTTTCTGTTTTCTTTTTTAAGGAGAAATCAGAGCAACACATTTTTCACCGGTGGAGAATCCATTGCGACGGTAAAGTGTTCCCATCTATGCTGTAGAGTCAATGCTTTTCTGGTGTCAACTGGACATTCTCAATAAATACATTTACTGCCTGAATATGAGTACGACATAATTCAAAATTGATATTTTATATTGCTTCTCTGATTTATGTTGCATGACTCATGCATAGCAGAATCACTGGTTACTTTTCTTCAGTAGACTCAAAAAGAAATAAAGATTTCACTTTATGTCTGAAACCTTACTGTGGGTGGAGTCATGATCTGTAATCAAAGTCATTTCAGATGGCCATTGTAGATAGAAGGTGCTTGTAGAAAGTTTTATGCGCAAAATTTTAGTCTGCACCAATGTAGATTAAGCCATCTATCTTGCATCAAATTTGATGCTTTCTAGAATAGTGAAAGTTTAAGATAAGCCTAAAGGAGGTTTTATGTATCTCCTTCAGGCTCATGTTAACCGTTTACACCCTAACATCAGTATGCGTATTCTCCATAATGTTCTCTATACGTTTCCTAAGGTACTAACAAGGAGAATTTGTTTCACAATCAAGAGCTTCTTTAGATGGTGAATTATTTTCCTTTACTCTTGCGACCTTAATCGTTGATACAGTGGTGATACTTTAAAGAGAAATTTCATTTAGATGCCAGTCACTCTAAAGGGTCAAGTAACTAAACAACTGGATGTCCGAATTTCTTACAAATCATTTCATTTCTTACAGCCTTCTGTAGCTAGTGAAATGACTGGTCAGTCGTTCTATGCAGCCAGCAGTGCCAGTATGTATGGTGGCTTCTCTCGATCAGTCTTTGGTTCAGTGTCTGGCCGATCATCTCCTGAATCAGTCAGCGAGGATCTGGCCGAACCAAGTTCTGGCTTCCGCGACAAATTTACAACATCTCTCGGAGGTAATAACGTCAGTAGCAGAAGGGGACTGTGCAAGGTTTATGAACAGGGAGCCACAGAGCAGCATCTCTTTTGCAGCATATATGGGGATTTTATTTGCGGATAAAAGGATATTACGCCTGTTTTGCAAGCTCTTGAAACTTTTGAAAATTTCTTGGTAGTAAACACAAAAAGGTTTATGATCATTTTTATACTTAAAGAAGATTTTTGTGGACTTGAGATAGGACTTTGGGAAAGAAGCCAAGGAAATTCTTGTCCCGTGAACTTTAATAGGCCATCTTACAGTTGTGTACTTAGTTGCCAAGCCTTTGATTCAGAGTGAGGCTGAAGGTCACCTTGTTTTGATAGAGACCTGTATCTACTTAGCATGATAACAAAGTGATTTACATTTGAAAGGCAGCAAGGTTTGTATCATAACAAGGTCAACCCTAGCCTGACACTCCCATTCAAAGGCTTGGCAACCAAGCACACAACTGTAAAATGGACTATTATGAAATCATCAATATCTTTGTAAAGAAATTTCCATCATTCCCTTTTTTTCAGTTTTACAGCCGTTTTACCTATTAACGTAATACGTGACTCTTCTTGTTTTTGTTGTCATTATTGCCCGTAGACATCCAGACACGCCCAACTTTTACTCGAGAGGAACTCACAGAGAAAGATCTTGATAAAATGGTAATGATGCTGAAACCTTTTAACCGAGATGAATTTGTAGATCACGCGTTAAATTTATCTTCAAATTAGGAACTGTCTAACTGAAGAGCAATACAGTCACGTGAAAAAAGAATTTATTTTTCATCTCATCTTAAAAGGTTCAAAACCTTTTAACTAAAATATTTCTTTGAAGATTAAACTGAGCCTCAGCTCATGTTTTCGAAAAGGGACTACCGAGGTTGGGTACCTAAGAAAACTTCTGGTCATTGCTGTATACATCGTTCTATTTGATGGGGTTTATGAATTGAATTTATGATTTAAATGTGGTGTTTTTACCAGGTTCACATCACACTCACTGAAACCGAAACAATCTGGATACTGGATTTTCCAGGTACTTGTGTTGGAGAGGATAATGAAATTGCAGAGAGTGTGAAGGAAAAAAACCAAAGATATGATGAGGTATTTACCCATATTAGCATAATATTGCATTCAGCAAGAGAAAATTATCTTTCAGTACTATCATCACCAGTATTGGACATGCATTGGACCAGCATTGGACTAGCACTGGACAATTCCATCTTGTTCAGATCAGAAGGCTTAATCAGATTTTGGATGGTCCCAACTCAATTCAGACAGTTCGTCCTTTTCCAGATTGCGACGACCATTTTAATTGATTTTCTTTAAGGGCGGTCGGTTTCGTTTTGGTCAGTCTTGCCTTGTTTAGACTGATGGTGCGCGTTTCCCTGTGGTTATAAGGTTTCCCCATTATTTCGGATGGGTTGAATCCGATTTCCGTCCGACTTCGGACGATTTCGTCGGATTTCGGATGTATTCGTGCGCTTCCGTGCTTTTTCGGACGGATTCGTCTGACCCTCGGATTTTTAATGGTTTCGACTAACTTCGGATTTCTACTCCCTCCTAATTATTATCTCCACCCACCCCACCCTCGACGCACATTAGGGGCCTTCGTTAACAATCTTAGTTCATTACATTAATGTTATCGTTTCTTCCTTGACATAGCTTTTAAAGAACCGTGTTGGTAATGACAGCTATGTGGAGAGAGGAATGCAAACTTTCAACAATGGCCAGAAGAGTAAAGAAATTCAGTCTAGTAAAGTTGAGCTTCATGTAAGCAATTTTTCATGCCCTTTTTTTATTGCAAGGTTAAATGCAGTGTCAAAAGCGTGTCGGAATAGTTTTAAGTTTGCTTTACATCACTTCACCTGTGATTGGTCAAGAAAACGTGAACTTCTCAGCCAATCAAATGCCAGATAAAAGCCAATCGCGATTTCGTGAAGGTTTTTTCCCCCCAGTACCTTACGTAGGTGTGTTATTGTTTGTTTACTTTGCCTTTTCACTACTAGTTCAGTGTGATATTTTTCTTTGTTTTGACTGGCCGTTATGTTTACTTTGGTTTGATGACTCCCATCAACTCTTCCTAACTAAGGACTCCTTTGCCACAAATACTTCAGCGACTCAAATTTCTGTATCACATTTACTGTGTGCAAGAATTTGAGTCGCTGGGGATTTTTAGCCCAAGACCTACTGTGTTTTAACGAATAGCAAACTCCTGAGCGATAGAAGCTTGTATCGGTGATAGGCTTGTTTGAGGCCTACTGCTACTTTTTTTCCGATCATATTAAATATTTTTCAAAAAACACAAAGCTTTCCTTATTTTATCGTTATGATGATTTTCATTGTATTCCCCGATGCAGGAAGTTGGCTGTGTGGCTTCAACTTGGGATATGTACGATACGTATAATTATGAGGAAAATAAACAGGAAGGTATGTGTTGTAAACCTTCAAGGGAGACTCTGAGGCGATGAGACTGTATTTTTGCGATTGCAGTGTCTACAGAGTTGAAAATTGTGCTAGTTCCATCACATTCTTTCCAGTTCTGGTATCTATTTTACTTGACAAGTTTATCCAAAGGGATTACTGATTCTCTCCAGAAGCGCTGGCCTCCAGCATTTTAATCTGAAGAGCTGACCACTCTAACTGGACAAAATGGTTGAAGTCCCATTTTGATCTGAAGAATATTTTAAATTTTAATCTATTATCGTATGTACTCAAAGAAGATTGCGTAAAACTGGAAAAAAAAAAAGTAAAAGCAAGGGAACTTGGTGATCGCGCACAGGCACTAACCTGTTTACCACTGCCAACTGTTTCTCAATGGCCAACCACTAAAAAGGAATCTGGAAAACAATGGCGTATTCTAACTTTTTCAGGCGGTGATAAAGATGAAGGAGATGCAGATCATTTTGAAAGTCTTAGTCGACCGGTCAGTGGGGAGCGAACAAGCAGCCATGATGATAATGAAAGTGTGGGTTCCGTGAGGCCGGCTAGTGAAGCATCTGGCAGTATAACGGGTAAATAGCGCTGTTATAGACATTAATACAGAGTTGAAGTGGATCCTGTGAGAGAGTGTGAGGCCTTGATCAACGCGAGCTGGGTGACTGGTCTGCAAGGAGTCTAGTCTGCCCTGATAATCATTAGTGCCAGAGCCCCGGCAACCTCTCCTCGGCTCGTCCCGAATCTACCCTCGGGCGGAGAAAAGGGGCGTCCATTAGGGTTTTGTATAATGAGTGCCTACTCGCAGACTATTGGCTGAAAAGATAAAAAAAATTACCTCAGAGCCTTTAAAAGTCGACAAGTAAATATTAAGGTATTTTATATTGAGTAATAACAAGCGATCCCGTCGTTACGAGAATTATGACGTCAGACAAGTGGAGTAGTAGAAGAAATCCACAGGTCTGATGTGTGGTCGCTGCCTTGGAGCTGAAAAACGTCTACACGGGTTCGGAATTTTCGTAGGCTCACGTGTTAAACCACAGTAACATTATAGTAAAAATTTTTAAAAATTGAAAAGCGGTTTTTTTGCCCAGGTTAAGACGTAAGTTGAAAGGAGGTGCTTTAAAATTTGGCTTCAGATGGGCTAGTAACAACGGGCACAAAACATCCTTTGCACACCATAGTTTCATCCTCGGGCACTTGCCAAAAGTTTGAATGTTAACTGGGACGGGGATAGATTGATGGTAGCTCTGAGTGTCTGAGAGTCATTGTTATACAAAAATAGCTTTAAATACGATGTGGTCGTGATTTTACCTTTCTTGTATGTATTCTAATAGGTAGTCGAGCGAGTATGTTCACGTTTAAGAGCAGTTCTATTGAAGAAGAAGGACCTGAGAGGGCTGATGATGGAGCAACGGAGAAAGAAATGGAAGACATGGCTGCCATCATGGCGGAGAGAATACTTCAGGTTTGCCCACATTTTAACTTCATAGGCTATGTGGTTCGTCTCAAACGGACCTGTCATTTTTTTGTGGGGGGGGGGGGACCTTCGGGAGATTTTGGTTGTGATAAAATTTACTGATTCCCCCATAAGGCTTTGCAGCATTCATATGATCCCCTCCTCACTGGCAGTTGATTGGCAGTCAATTTTCTATGCCCCCCTCCCCACTTTATGCTCTGTTGGCGACGACTGCTCCCCCCTTCACTCCCTTCCTGAAAACCATGTGATCTCGCCAAAAGCCTCCACCCCTCACCCCAGGCGATAAATAATGGCTGACTCACACGTCTTTTTGATAACTTCATGCTCAGTAGAGATGCTCAGTACATTGCTCTAGAAGGACCAAGTTCAATTTGGTTGTGTATTTGTCTCTTTGTTTGTTTGTTTTTGTCAAGAATAAGACTGCTAATGTAACAACTCACAAAACGTTGGGGCGAAGAATGGGTACCCTCACCCCTCCCTTCTTTCCTCGCTTTCGCTCCCCTCTCTACTTTCCCCTTTATCCTCTGCCTTTCCCCCCGATTCCGGTTTGGAACTTTGTCCTACTACCATTCATTAATAGGCTTTTATTTGAGAGAGGGGTAGGGGTAGGGGGAGTGGAGGGTGTGGGGGGGTGTGGGGAGGGGAGGTTTGGCCTCAGAGAAACCAAAGTGCTTGTGAACACCATACCAGTTGGTATAGATAGATAGATCATAGATAGATAGATAGATAGATAGATAGATAGATAGATAGATAGATAGATAGATAGATAGGTATAGTCAAAGCCTGAATGTTTCCAATTTTAATCTCTCAGATTCTCTTCAATTCTTTTACTAGTCTGAAAGTATGCAAAAAGATCTCTTTATAATGGAGCGAGCTATAGCTCTGAACATTTATCAGCCCAGACAAGCGAGGTATAGAGGACTGGAGATTGTCCCAGGTAAATCTTGTCATGATTTTACTGAATGTTGAACGCGGTTGAAATATTCCCATTACGGAATAAATTTGTTATCTAGTCACGAGCTTGGGACAGAGAAAAAATTCGGAGTCCCCATAAGAAGTCGAACCTCAGACCTGCGGATTCCGCGCTTCGATGCTCAACTGCTGACCTTCAGAATACTCTGTGGTCAGCGTCCGACATACTGCTAGCAATGTCGAAAGCGTCATGCGAGTGAATTGAATAAGAAAATCGGTAAATTTTGAGCTTGGTAATGAAATGTAAATCTTCTATCTCGTCTTTTTTGTTTAGTTACGGGACGCAGATTATTTCAAAATGCAGCGAGAACTGAATAATGACCCACGAGCCAACGGGTGTAAAGAAGCTCTGTATATCTTAGCCTTCAGAGTCTATTAAGCTCCGTCGGTGACACTGATTTAAAAATCTGTAACGCGCAAACACAATTTTAATTTTCAAAGATCGCTGCATTTCAAATTCAGGGCTCATTCAAGTTCCCATGTTCGACATATTGCGCATTTAAGAATCCTGAAACGTGCTTGAAGAAGTTCTCAGTAGCCGTTCATTCAAGCAGTATTCTCCGATCTATCGAATCTCTACTGTGATTATATTCACTTAGTACGCATTCAAGTTTCGCTAAAAGCACCTGGAAAGGTTCTCAAGAGCAATGCATTCGTGTAATAGTTCCCCAATCCAAAAATTCTTTACTCTTGTCAATATTTTTTTCAGTGCTTATTCAAGTTTCCCGAAATGCACTTGGAGTTGTCCTCATTAGCACTGCATTCAAGCAATTTTCTCCAGTTCCTTCAATCTTTACTGTTTTCCATATTTTACTTAGTGCTCATTCAAGCTTCTCGAAAAGCGCTAGGATGGGTTGTTTTGAAGATGCATTTGAGTAACTTTGTCTAATCCACTGAATTTTTATTTTTGTTCTTCATCACTAGACGTTGATGTGGAAAAATCGGATGGCGAAGAAGCCAGTTCTGCTGCGGCCACGCTGGCACAATTGGGACCGAACCTACATAAATTATGGAGCTATTCATGTAATCTGACCAAAGGACGTAATGTTAGCTGCCTGGCCTGGAACAAACTTAATCCAGTGCGTAACCTTCTTTTGAAAAGGGCGATGAGAGATTTGAGTCTTTCTGAGGATTCAAACCTGACTAGGGAAATATTTTTCTAGCTCGGCCATATACTAAAGTTCCTACCCCGATAAATAGCAATGTCGAGAGCGTTGTGTGAGGTGGTAGAATACGTTGGATAGGGGAGGGAAGGATCCTCGAAAGGGAGCTGTAATTAAGGAATTAAAGTGCATCCCAGATACTAGTTGGAAGCAACTGCCAATCGAGCTTCGAAACCATATGTCGAGAGCAAGGAAAGGAATCAGATCTCAATAAAATAAACTTAATGAGGTAGTACATTATGAGCTCGGTGGGGTAGTAAAAAATATCCATGACACCAATAAAAACAAAACGGCAACTTTAGCTGTAATTTAATTGATCTTTAAATTTTATTTCATACAGGATATCCTTGCCGTGGGATATGGGGAGTTCGTGTTTTCTGAGCAGAAAGGTGGCCTAGCTTGTTGCTGGTCAATTAAAAACCCTGAGGTAATCAAACCAACTAATTTGATTTTGAAAGACATTGTTATTCTTAATTTTGATTTTGTACTCAAGTGGGCGATTTTAGATTTTGGACACTAGTGGCCTATTTTTGATTTTGGACACTAGTATTCGTCTTTAGATTTTTGAGACTGGTGTCCGATTTTAGAGACTAGTCTCCGATCTTAGATACTGATTTCGGACACCACTATCCGATTTTGGACACTAGAGCTTGAATTTGTACACCAGTCTCCGATTTTAGACGCTAGTGTCCTACTGCAGACACTAGTGTTTGATATTAGATATCAGTTTAGACATTAATTTGGACTTGTTACGGTTATGTTTGCTCTTATTCGAACGTCTGATTTCTGTGATCAGTGTCCTATTTTGGAGATCAGTTTCTGATTTTGTATGCTTTCGTCTTGTTAAAGCTTTTGGTTTCTGACTCTTTCAGTATCCTGAACGTATCTTTCATCTGGACTGCGGAGTCACTGCTGTTGATTTTTCGGCTGCTCATCCTAATCTATTAGCAGTAAGTATCCGCTGACTTTTCCATACCTGCGAAGGCCTGGGCAAGTAACTATGCATATTCGCCTTATTCTACAGAAACAGGATTTTTTTTTTTTTTGTATGCATGGATGCAGTCAGGCTCGCATGCAGACTTGACAAGATCTATGTTACGGTTTTGTAATTTCAAATTCCATTATAGGAGTTTCTCTCAGTTAATGCACTTTTTGTTTTTCGTTAGGTTGGCATGTATGATGGTACGATTGCTATCTACAATGTGAGAAGTCGGAGTGATACACCGGCTCTTGACAGCTTGTAAGTACTATATATATTTGTGAATGTACAGAACCTCCCCTCCCCCCCTCCCCCTTCAAAATAAAGAAATTAGAGCTCAATGCTTTTCTCCTCTTGATAGAGAAATGCTTGTTATGAAGTGCAATTCGCTATGTCAAATGAGGTGATCTTGCACGATATAAAAAAAAAATAGGTAAACAAAAAGCAGAGTGTTTTGAGCAGAATTCCATCGTGAGGGTGTCTTGAATAGTGGTGGACGTCACTCAAATTTCAGAGAAAGTATTTGCAACTGATAGTTTGCGCGGAAGGATACGTGCGACCAAATCAAGATTTTTTTTTTTCTGTGCCTTAGGTGACGCGTAAAACTAATCATGGAGAAAACTAGGTTTTCACAGTGACAAATACAGCAGCGAAATTCTAACGTATCTTTTTCCTTCAAGTTTCCTCTTGACTTTCCTATTTATTTACTTGGCTTCTTGCCTAGAAATAGATCCATGAGGAAGTTACGAACAATGTTAAAGTGCTACTGCGACGAACTTTTTGCATTTTATTTTCCCAATATTCTGGTGTTAACTTCACATTTAGACCCTAAACTATAAGAATAAGCGTAAGTTTCTCAAATTTGTCAACGTTCCTTAAAAACAGCGCCGCGAAGACATTAAAAATAGCGCCGCGAAGACATTAAAAATTCTTCCGCCATTGCTCGAATAACACACTGGAGAGCCCGCGAAAATAACTACAGCGGTTTTAGTTGTGACGTCATCGACTCACTTCGACAACGTCGCGAGGGCATGCCTTTACAAGAAATATGCAAAAGAAAGCTGGGGAACAATTCTTTCGAATTTTATTCCTTCTTTCCTGCGGAACCAGAAAAACAACTCTCTCTCGGCATACTAAATTAGCCACGTTTGTTGAGTCGTTGACGTCACTTCCGTTTTCGACCCAGTTTCTTCTTCTTCGCGCGGAATTCAGTAATTCGAAGAATGGCGGCCGTTTAGATCGCGAATCTACAGAGAAAATAATATTACTTCTCGATGGAGTTTTGCCTTAAGATTTGG